CTAATCCAGTGTGTGAAGTTTTGCGGAGTGTTTGAGTTAGCTTTGCGAGGCAAAGATGAAACTGAGGGCTCCACCAACCCTGGTATTTTTCTTGGACTTGTCAACTTTGTGGCACAATTAGATGAGGTGTTTGATGACCATCTTAAAAATGCTAAAGTTTTCAAGGGCACATCAAAGACCATTCAAAACGAGCTACTGGAGTGTATGCTAGCGGTCATGAGGGAACATATTGTGGAGGAGGTGAAGTCGGCGAACTTCGTAGCTATCCAAGCTGACGAGACCACGGACGTTTCTACACAGACACAGCTACATTTACATTTTACATTTTAGTCATTTAGCAGACGCTTTTAACCAGAGCGGATTACAGGAGCAATTGGGGTAGTGCCTTGCCTCAAGGGCAATTAACGTCATTTAGCAGACGCTCTTAGCCAGAGCGACTCACAAATTGGTGCGTTCACCCTATAGCCAGTGGGATAACCACTTTACAATTTGGGGGGGGGGGGGGGGGTTAGAAGGAATACTTTACCCTATCCCAGGTATTCCTTAAAGAGGTGGGGTTTCAAATGTCTCCCGGAAGGTGGTGAGTGACTCCGCTGTCCTGGCGTCGTGAGGGGAGCTTGTTCCACCATTGGGGTGCCAGAGCAGCGAACAGGTTTGACTGGGCGAGGGGGAGCTGTGCTTCCGCCCGAGGAAGGGGAGCCAGCAGGCCCAGAGGTGGATGAACGCAATGTCCTCGTTTGGGTGTAGGGACTGATCAGAGCCCTGAAGGTACAGGGGTGCCGTTCCCCTCACTGCTCCAAAGGCAAGCACCATGGTCTGTAGGGATGCGAGCTTCATTGGAAGCCAGTGGAGTGTGCGGAGGAGGGGGGTGACGTGAGAGAACTTGGGAAGGTTGAACACCAGACGGCTGCGGCATTATGGATGAGTTGTAGGGGTTTAATGGCACAGGCAGGGAGCCAGCCCAACAGCGAGTTGCCAGTAGTCCAGACGGGAGATGACAAGTGCCTGGACCAGGACCTGCGCCGCTTCCTGTGTAAGGCAGGGTCGCACTCTCCGAATGTTGTGCTGAGGTACATAGATAGCAAGAAGATTAAATTTTTTTCCTGGGGCTTTTTCACAAAATCATGCCCCACGTCGACATTCTGTACCAGAAGCTACAGAAGAAGGACATCGATGCTGTCTTCATCAAACGTGCCCTCGACAGCTTCACTAGCAGTGTGCAGGCCATAAGGTAAGATTAAACAATATCATTCGATCTTTCTCAAAGCAGAGCTTTATTTGAAAATGTATGCATGAAAGGAGACATCATCATATTTACAAATCTATACAATTGGCCAGAATATGGTTGTTCATTTTTACAAAGCCATACAGATAGCTGTGTTTACCTTTTCTAGAAATTATTTTCAAATTCTGTTTTCAGGCAAAATGTCTATCACTGTTCATTTTCACAAATCTATACAAGACGGCAGAATATGGAAGTCTATAAAAATTTCTTATTACCAATAACTTGCATCAATGTTTTCAGTAGCCTCTATCAAAAGCTCCTGCTTGCTTGTTGTGAATTATGCTCAGGTGCACATATTTCCAATTCAACCATGAGGCCTTTTTGAAGCAAGTAATGTGTATATCAGTATTGACTTATATGCTGCCCCTGTCTTCATGTTGTTGCTGGACATATCTTTTTTAAAATGTGTGTAGGTCACCTAAATCATCAGAAAAATTGCCCCCCCTGAGATTTTTTTCAGGAGCCGCCACTGCTTACCAGTAGGAATAGTTATCTCCCATGCTCTGACAGACAAGTAGGCTAGAGCTGCCTCTTTCAAGCAGCGGGACACTAATCCGGACAATTATAAGAAATCCCGAACACCCACCGACTAACCATCAAACAGGAAAAGGGTCAATACAGGACTAAGATCGAATCCTACTACACCGGCTCTGACACTCGTCGGATGTGGCAGGGCTTGCAAACTACACTACAAGGCCAGACTCTGGAGCAGTGGAAACGTGTTCTCTGGAGTGATGAATCACGCTTCACCATCTGGCAGTCCGACAGGTGAATCTGGGTTTGGCGGATGCCAGGAGAATGCTAACTGCCCGAATGCATAATGCCAACTGTAAAGTTTGGTTGAGGAGGAATAATGGTCTGGGGTTGTTTTTCATGGTTCGGGCTAGGCCCCTTAGTTCCAGTGAAGATAAATCTTAACGCTACAGCATAGAATGACATTCTAGACGATTCTGTGCTTCCAACTTTGTGGTAGCAGTTTGGGGAAGGCCCTTTCCTGTTTCAGCATGACAATGCCCCCATGCACAAAGCAAGGTCCATACAGCAATGTTTTTTTCGAGATCGGTGTGAATGAACTTGTCTGGCCTGCACAGAGCCCTGACCTCAACCACATCGAACACCTTTGGGATGAATTGGAACGCCGACTGCGAGCCAGGCCTAATCGTCCCACATCAATGCCCGACCTCACTAATGCTCATGGCTGAATGGAGGCAAGTCCCCGCAGCAATGTTCCAACATCTAGTGGGAAGCTTTCCCAGAAGAGTGGAGGCTGTTATAGCAGCAAATGGGGGACCAACTCTATTTTAATGCCCATGATTTTGGAATGAGATGTTCGACGAGCAGGTGTCCACATACTTTTGGTCATGTAGTGTATCGTACGAAATGGATGATGGCCATCCACAAATTAATACTTACCATACGAAACGTAACATATCATACTAATTGGAGTGTCCCAGATTTATGTTTACTATGTTACGTCTACCCCTGAGTCCAGGTTACCAGAGCATGCATGCCCAGAGCTTGTGGCTGAGTAGTCCTAGAGCAGAATTGGAGCAGGAATGATACATTTTTTTTAAAATCAGCTCGAATTAAGGTCTGCTCCTTGCTACACACTCGCCCACTTACATGCTCTGGCATTCAAAAGCAGCCCTGCTTTAGGCTATCAAAGAACTGTCAATGAATAATCATATCAATGGATGGAATCAGTGAATAAATGGCTGTAGCAACCATTACACGGTCTGACAAGTTGCATAACAAATTAGGCCTAATTAAACAAAAGAACAATTAAGTCGTTCAAAGGAGATACTAAGTTGTTCAAACTACTTAGTATCTCGTTTGAACGACTTAGTATCTCATTACTAAGTCATTCGAATGAGATACTAAGTCGTTCAAATTAGATAGTAAGTCATTCAAACAAGATAATTCTAAGAGTCTAACTATAAATGTTTTTTTCATGGTCTTCAGGGCTTCTGTATAAATCCAATGACAAAGTGACATTTTTTGTTGAATTCATATTAGTTGACAACTCAACCAAATGTAAATCAAAACTAAATGTTGAACTGATGTCTGTGCCCAGTGAGATGTGTGTGGAAAACATTTAATCGCAGGTAGGACATTTACTTTGTTTAGTATAGTCCGTTAGTAACTCCACTCACTACTTGTAACCATGACTCACTAGTATAGTCCGTTTGCTTGTGTTATTGGTCTTGGCTAGCTTAATGTTTCGGTCAATAACTAGCTAGCACTCACTCTCTCACGTAGCTAGCACCGTCATGAAAAGGGGCATGTGGGAAGCCCTACAATATTATGTTTTTCTAAGTAGCGAGAACATGTTATACTTTTCTTAAATATAGTTTTGTAATTGAGTAAATTAAGCAGACAAAAAAAATGGCATTTTAAAAATGTTACGTTTTTGCTGCGAGACAATGCAGTAACCAAGGTGACCAAGGATTGTTTTCCCCCAAGGCAGGCGGGGCTGCGAAGTTCTATCTAATACCGACTGGGAGTATAGGTTCCAGAACTGCTGGGTTTTACTTAAAGAAAATGAATTCGCATTAACAGTGAAATAATTCTAGGCATGGCTTTAAATTAACATGAGGTTGGAGAGCTACTTGGTAACAAACCTCTAACCTAACAATTTCTTAGCCATTGTTATGTTTTTCAAGCTCTGCTCATGAAATTCCAAACCAAGGTCAACTTTCCAGCTTTCAGTATTACCTCCATAAAATGAGTGTTATGAAGGAGCTAAGAGTTCATCCTGCTCCTCTGTTTCCCTAGAAGGTGGCAAGATGAGTTCCTTTATGTTTTAAACTGCTGGTTTAATATTAAACTATTAATTTGCCATAATAATGTACTCCTCATTGAAGTCATTCTTATTGAGGAATGGGATAGTTATAATGAATTACTGGTGCATTAGTAATATCTAAGCTTGAATTATTAATTACACACTGTCCTGCCGAAGGTTTTTACGAGAGTTGCTGGACAGAAAAGTAATAGCACTTTGACTTAGTGAGATATGTCAGAACAGTGTCTGGTTGGTCTGGGAGCATGTTCATGTGAACTGTGATAGCATCGAAGGCAACATCCAGCAGCATCAAACCCACTGAACTCTGACGTTGCAAGCACCACGCTCCAACCAACCGAGCCATCAGAACCACGGTGTGAGTGTGTGCCTGTGTACAGTATTCTGAGTGTTTGTGGCCTGTATAATGCCTGTATCGGGGTCACAGTGGGCATAGATGCATTGATTTCATAGGGATCTCTTTCTCTCTCTGAAAAGGAATAAAATAGCAGGAATAAGAGCAAGGGAAATGAGTAGCAAAGTGAGTGGAATTGAGCTAGCCCTGTAACTGGCTTTCACACGGTCATCTCTGTAATAGAGACCAATCATGATAAGTGTCTTGGACTGATTCAATATTCCCCCTTCCAACCCCCCATCCCAACTCATCTGATTTGCCCCATTAGGTCAATGGGCTAGGTGAGCCTATTATCAGCATGGTCTTTACTGATACCCATCATTCAGGCTGTATACAGGTTGAATCTATTGTCCATGGTTTATAGATAAATGTGTTTACGCTATGCCTGTTTGTGTGTGTGTGTGTGTGTGTGTAAGAGAGAGAGTGAAATAGAGAGAGAGGAGAGAGAGAAAGAGATACTACCAGTATGACTAGAAGATAGTTATTGGCTTTACACTGACTGAGAAACAGATGTAGATAACATGAAGGTAAGTGGAAAGGGAGTTTCTCCTCTCCACATTCTGTATATTTCATTGGGTTCTGTTATGAGGTAATAATAACAGCAAACACCTTGATAGCTAGCTTCCCCCTTTCTCTCTCTCCCTCTCGCTCTCTCCCTCTCTCTTTCAATCTCTCTCGGAGTCTGACATTTAAGCTCTAACAGTGATTTATGAGTTGTCCCCAACTGTTTCTGATATTTGGTATTTAAAACTTGAAATCCTATAAATGACATACTTAGCATTCTCTGAGAGCGTTATCTGAAATTAGGCTGGTAAGAGGAGCCTGAATCATAATCTCCTACGAGTGTCACCAGCGCCCATAGACATCTCACCATATGTCACTCCAAGATAAATCACAGTTTCAATTCTGAGCTTCTATCAAACGACAGTAGCCTATATTTCATTTATCCTCCTAAGAACGTTGAGAGGGGGCTATTTCTGTGCACTCAGAATGAGGAAGTTGGAATGCGGTTAGATAGTCCTGTGTAGCTCAGTTGGTAGAGCATGGCGCTTGCAACGCCAGGGTTGTGGGTTTGATTCCCATGGGTGACCAGTATGAAAAAATGTATGCACTCACTAACTGTAAGTCGCTCTGGATAAGAGCGTCTGCTAAATGACTAAAATGTAAAATGTAAATATCTTGTCAAATCCCTAATTTCTCCCAATAATATTTAAATCAGTTAATCTCCTGGGCTGGTTACTGTGAAATATTGTTCCATTGTCTGCTGGCCTAGACTGTTTGAGAAGCATCTGCCAAATATGGCAGTTACTTGTGAATTCTTGTTTTAAAGATTTTCAAAACTGATATTTTCACCACTACTGTCTGTTGAAGGTTTGTAGATGCTGTGCTGCTGTCTGTGCTTACTGCAATTTGAAAAAAGTAATCCAAAACGACGAGATTATTTTGCACTAATCTACCAATACAAGACCTCCCAGATTTACTGCTGAAAGACAAGGCAGATACTGTCCTCTAGTGGTGTGATGGCTATACAGCCTACTTCTCTCAAGTGAGGCGTGAACCAGCTTTTTATTATAAGGCCAGAGACACCTGCATGGCTGCATTTACCACTAATGTTTAAATTGGTTGGATGTGTTTATCAAAAGCACCAACTACTCTCAAAATGTCCATGTTTATGTTTGTTTGTCCTTTTCGCCACAACTTACATAGGCCTTATACCAGTAGAGTGCCTAGCAGTATGTTACTTTGACTTACCCATAGAAATGTAATCAATTTCTATGGGGTTACCATAAGGTCATGTAGGTATCTGTACAGCATTTTTAGCTCTCTTTTTTTGTTTCCCTGGAAAGATACCACTGAATTAACAGTGGTAAGTACAGTTTAATTGTCTGTTCTACTTTGTACAAGATAATTACCCTGGTTATTCACTTATAGTTATCCTTTGAATAACAGTGTTTTGTATTTTGCCTGTGTGGGAATTGTCCACCTGCGATTTCCCCATGGGGACACTGTGATATGAAGTACACATTCAGAGTCAGAGCAAGAGCCAGAGCCAGAGTAGCAGCTTCCTATTTCTCACAGACATGCACACCTGAACTCAACTGGCCTTTTCTAGTAACATTATCATGATCAAATGTCTTCAGTTTTACCCTTGAGAGAAAAAAATACAATAAATGTTTAACTAGAGCATGCCTATAAGAGGGTGAAAGGTATTACCAGCCACTCAAAGCTAATCACTCTGAAGTAGAGCTCAAGATGAGGGCTGTTGTAGTGTGGCGAGGTGTTGGTGATTTCTCTATTCGGAGCACAGGGACAGATAAAGGTCAATGGAGATGAGACGAAAATAAATGAAGCTGGTGCCACTGCTGAGAAACAGACAACTAGCCAAGCTGACATATGGACTGAGCTGAGAGAGCTGAAAGCTGTAGTGAAGAAACTAGGGGCTGTGGCAGTGGAGCACAACATGGAGTTGACAGCCGCTAGGTCACAAGTGACAGCCCTGGAGGCTAGACTGAGAGCTAGTGAGAGTCAGGTGGAGAGTCAGGTGGAGAGTCAGAAGAGCATGATGGTAGAGCAGGCAGTGAGGCTGAGCGTCACCCACTCTGAGCTGAAGGCAATGCAGGCCAAGTTGGAGACAGGCGAGAGAGTGCTACAGGAGCACACCAACAGTATGGTTAAGTTAGAAATTAAACTGAGCGTTGCACAGATGCAGCTGCAAGCTGGGAAGAAGTACATTGAATGACAACTCAGGTATTATTTATATTATTATCAATGTTGCTGTTGTAATTGTTGCTATCATCATCATTATCCATCATCATCATCTATTGTTTGCTTCTACCATGTTCATGTCCATTCTATTTTAGAGCAACACCATTCCATTCGTAAATTGACTGAATTGTATCATTTAGTTCAGGGTACCAAAACGTTTTTTTAAAGATATATTTTTAAGTGTAATTGTTTTGGCATACAATTTCAACCTTGGAAGAAAAGTTAACTGCCAATGAGAGACAGGTGAATGAAATGAAGGTGACTGAAGGTAATGTAAGAGAATAGAGAAGAATACACTGCAGCAAAGTACAAGGTTACCTCACAAACTGAATCAGTAATTATATTTTTTGCCAACTTGGCTGAACTGAGGCACTTGCAGGGCAGACTGAAGGCCAGTGATACTGCTGTGGAGGAGGAGAAGAAAGAGAACAGAGATAATCAGCTATGTTTAAAGATCTGAACTGATGGGAAGATTATATTATCTTTACCTGAATAAAGAGCACAGAATTTTTGACTGTGATTTCAGCTCAAAACGTGGTACTGTAGACACTTTATGCTAGGTCCAACAGCACTGAGACCCAGGTGGGAGAACAGGGGGTGGATTTGACCAAGCTGAAAGCTGAGGTGGAGGAGCTGAAGAGAGACAGTGAAGGTATGTTGTTCATAATAGCCAACAGTCATTAAATTGTACATAGAGGTTGATTAAAGGTTAGGATGTTGTGATCTGAAAAAAAGTATTATATCATGGGGCTACATTTATTAAACTGCCTCAAGGCCATCTCATTTCTGTTTCCACTCGCTGTGGCTGCTTTCTAAAGCTCAATCAGACGAACTGGAGACCCTCACCTTGAGGTCAAATTCCACCGAGACCCAACTGGAGGAACTGAAGAGAAAGGTGGTGAAGCTGACAATTGAAGTACTCAAGCTGTGGGGGGAGGATTAAGGTAGGAAAGCTATAATAGCTATAATAGCTATTCATCTGATTTCAGGTCAAGCCCAGGAACTGGTCATCCTTGATGTCAGGCTGAACAGCACTGTGGCTGGGGTTGGGGAACAGAAGACGGAGCTGACACATCAGAAAACTGAAGTAGTGCAACTGTGGAGGGAGCATTTTGGTACGTACACACAATAGGCTACAGACCCTCTTGTTTACAAGTCTATAGTGTCCTCTGACAGTGAAAATACAGTCTGTGTTACTGCTGAAGAGAGCAAAGTAAATTAATATCCCCAAAACAACACCATGTTAGTGGGAGTTAGTGTATTGGGATATATTTCGATTAGTGTTTCTATTAAAGTCAAAGAACACTGAGATCCAGCTAGAAGAGCAGGGGACAGAAGTGGAGTAGCTAAGAGCTGGTGGATAACCTGAAGAAAGTTGAAGTAGTAGCACTGTGCAGGAAGCACTATGGTACATTTAAGTCTAAAAATGTCATGCAAAAACAAAACAAGGTATGGTACTGCTGAATAGAACAAAACATCAAGTATGAAAGACCACCCTAATGTCTCAAAAACAACACATTGTTTTTTGGTAATGTGTCATGGGAGTTAGTGTGTTGTGATATAGTATATTTCTCTTAGGTCAAGTCTGAGAACTGGATGCCCTTAATGCCAGGTCAAACAGCACTGAGATCCAGCTACAGGAGCAAGAGGTGGAGAAGCTGAGAGCAGAGGTGGACGAGCTGAAGAAACCCGGTTCAGGTACAGTGAAGAGTACAGACTACAGAGCTGTCATTACATAGTGCTTTGGCTTGTTGACTTAACAGTAGCCTAATAATCCAAGAATCCATGCATCAATAATTAATTTGCCACTGAAAGTTTTTACCTTGTGATGACATTGTGTTCACAGACACACCGAAGGTGACATTCTCTGCATCTTTAGGAATCGATGGCTACTTTGGAAACTTCAACGGTGACACCACCCTGGTCTACAGTAGAGTAAATGTAAACATCTGAGATGCTTACAGTCAATCCACTGGTACCCTACTGCATTCATATTTATATTCCCATTCCATTGTTGACAGTATTATTGTACAGCAAATATATTGCTGGCCCATGTTGACTCCAATGCTTCCCACAGTTGTGTCAAGTTGGCTGGATGTCCTTTGGGTGGTGGACCATTCGTGATGCACACGGGAAACTGTTGAGTGTGAAAAAACCCAGCAGCGTTGCAGTTCTTGACACAAACCGATGTGCCTTGGCTGGTACCTACTACCATCCCCTGTTCAAAGGCACTTAAATTATTTGTCTTGCCCATTCACCATCTAAATGGCAAACATACAGTGGCTTGCGAAAGTATTCACCCCCCTTGGCATTTTTCCTATTTTGTTGCCTTACAACCTGGAATTAAAATAGATTTTTGGGGGGTTTGTATCATTTGATTTACACAACATGCCTACCACTTTGAAGATGCAAAATATTTTTTATTGTGAAACAAATAAACAAATAAATAAGACAAAAAAACAGAAATCTTGAGCATGCATAACTATTCACCCCCCCCAAAGTCAATACTTTGTAGAGCCACCTTTTGCAGCAATTACAGCTGCAAGTCTCTTGGGGTATGTCTCTATAAGCTTGGCACATCTAGCCACTGGGATTTTTGCCCATTATTCAAGGCAGAACTGCTCCAGCTCCTTCAAGTTGGATGGGTTCCGCTGGTGTACAGCAGTCTTTAAGTCATACCACAAATTCTCAATTGGATTGAGGTCTGGGCTTTGACTAGGCCATTCTAAGACATTTAAATGTTTCCCCTTAAACCACTCGAGTGTTGCTTTAGCAGTATGCTTAGGGTTATTGTCCTGCTGGAAGGTGAACCTCCGTCCCAGTCTCAAATCTGTGGAAGACTGAAAAAGGTTTCAGTCTTTGGCCCAGCGCACAATTGGCCCAGCGTCGTCCAGGGTAGGGGAGGGAATGGCCGGCAGGGATGTAGCTCAGTTGGTAGAGCATGGCATTTGCAACGCCAGGGTTGTGGGTTTGATTCCCAAGGGGGGCCAGTATGAAAAATAAACTAACTGTAAGTCGCTCTGGATAAGAGCGTCTGCTAAATGACTAAAATGTAAATGTAAATGTAAATTTAGCGCCATCCATCATTCCTTCAATTCGGACCAGTTTCCCAGTCCCTGCCGATGAAAAACATCCCCACAGCATGATGCTGCCACCACCATGCTTCACTGTGGGGATGGTGTTCTCGGGGTGATGAGAGTTGTTGGGTTTGTGCTAGACATAGCGTTTTCCTTGATGGCCAAAAAGCTCAATTTTAGTCTCATCTGACCAGAGTACCTTCTTCCATATGTTTGGGGAGTCTCCCACATGCCTTTTGGCAAACACCAAATGTGTTTGCTTATTCTTTTCTTTAAGCAATGGCTTTTTTCTGGCCACTCTTCCGTAAAGCCCAGCTCTGTGGAGTGTACGGCTTAAAGTGGTCCTATGGACAGATACTCCAATATCCGCTGTGGAGATTTGCAGCTCCTTCAGGGTTATCTTTGATTTCTTTGTTGCCTCTCTGATTAATGCCCTCCTTGCCTGGTCCGTGAGTTTTGGTGGGTGGCCCTCTCTTGGCAGGTTTGTTGTGGTGCCATATTCTTTCAATTTTTTTATAATGGATTTAATGGTGCTCCATGGGATGTTCAAAATGTCGGATATTTTTTTATAACCCAACCCTTGCTTAGTGGTGTTGTTGTCACGCCCTGACTCTAGGGACTTGTATTTGTTGAGTCAGGGTGTGTATTTTCTGTGTTTGTCTATGTTAGTTTCTAGATCGTTTAGGCCAGGGTGGTTCCCAATCAGAGGCAGCTGTAGCTCGTTGTCTCTGATTGGGGACCATACTTAGGTAGCCGGTTGGCACTAGTGGGGGGTGGGATCTTGTTCCGTGTAAGGTATGTTGTTTGTATGCTACTTTGGACTTCACGTTTCGTTTGTTGTTTTGTCGTGGTGTTTATTCGTTAAATAAACATGTATGCTTATCACGCTGCGCCTTGGTCCTTCTCGTTCGTGAACGATCGTGACAGAAGATCCCACCAATCCTGGATCAAGCAGTGTGACGAGGAGAGAGGATGGACTTGGGAGGAGATGAGCGAGAGTCTGGCAAGAGGGATGGAGGCCATGATCACAGGGGAGAGACAAGCCCCAAAAAATGTTAGGGGGGGCTCACGCTGTGGACGACGAGGCAGCAGGAGGCCGCGATAGAGCGGTTCAGCCGTTTAGCAGAGGAGGCCGCCAGATTAAGAGGGTCATTGGTTCAGAGGGAGCAGAAGGAAAGTGTAGAGGCACGGCGAGAGGAGCTGGTTAGGCAGCAGAAGGAGCGGGGGTTAATGAAGGAACCCAGTCCCGCTCCTCGCACCAATCGAGTGATGCGTGTCGCCAGTCCGGTCCGGCCCGTTCCTGATTCCCGCACTAAGCCAGTGGTGGGTGTTCCCAGTATGGTTCGGCCCGTTGCTGCTCCTCGCATCAAGCCAGTGGTGCGCATCGCCAGCCCGGTCCGGCCTGCTCCTGTCCCTCGCACCAAGTCAGTGGTGCGCGTCGCCAGCCCGGCCCGGCCTATTCCTGCCCTGTGCACCAAGCCAGTGGTGCGCGTCGCCAGCCCGGCCCGGCCTGTTGCTGCTCCCCGCACCAGGCCAGTGGTGCGCGTCGCCAGTCCGGTACGGCCCGTTCCTGCTCCCCGCACCAAGCCAGTGGTGCGCTTCGTCAGCCCAGTCCGGCCCGTTCCTGCTCCCCGCACCAGGCCAGTGGTGCGCGTCGCCAGTCCGGTACGGCCCGTTCCTGCTCCCCGCACCAAGCCAGTGGTGCGCGTCATCAGCCCAGTCCGGCCCGTTCCTGCTCCCCGCACCAAGCCAGGTGTGCGCGTCGTCAGCCCAGTCCGGCCTGTTCCTGCTCCCCGCACCAAGCCAGTGGTGCGTGTGTCCAGTCCGACACGGCCCGTGCCTGTTCCACCGGTGCCTGGTCCGGCACCGGTCAGCTGCTCCACTCCGGAGCCAGAGCAATCCGCTCCACCGGGGTCCAGTCCAGCTCCGGTCAGCGGCTCCACTCCGGAGCCAGAGCAGTCCGCTCCACCGGTGCCTGATCCAGTTCCGGTCAGCGGCTCCACCCCGGAGCCAGAGCAGTTCGATCCACCGTCGTCGGGTCCAGCTCCAGTCAGCGGTTCCAGTCCAGACCCAGACGTCAGCCCCTCTCCAGGTTCGGGGTCTCCCACACCAGGGTCCAGACAGGGCGTGGTACTTCGTAGGAGGAAGGAGAGAGGAAGCAGCGCGCCAAGGTCCAGTCCAGACCAGACCAGACCAGGGGCGCAACGGGGAGGTGGAGAGTAAGTGGTGGTCACACCCGGAGCCGGATCCGCCTCTGAGGCGGAATGCCCACCCGGCCCCTACCCTGTTAGGTTTATGTGGCGCGTTCGGAGTCCGCACCTTTGGGGGGGGGGGTACTGTCACGCCCTGACTCAAGGGACTTGTATTTGTTGAGTCAGGGTGTGTATTTTCTGTGTTGGGTTTGTCTATGTTAGATTCTAGTATGTCTAGATCTATGTTGGCCTGTGTGGTTCCCAATCAGAGGCAGCTGTCGCTCGTTGTCTCTGATTGGGGACCATACTTAGGCAGCCTTTTGGCACGAGTTAGTTGTGGGATCTTGTTCCGTGTAAGGTATGTTGTTTGTATGCTACCTTGGACTTCACGTTTCGTTTGTTGTTTGTTTTGTCGTGTGTTTAGTCGTTAATAAATATGAATGCATATCACGCTGCGCCTTGGTCCTTCTCGTTCATGAACGATCGTGACAGTTGTAGACTATGGAGCCTTTCAGAACAGGTGTATATATACTGAGATCATGTTGCAGATCATGTGACACTTAGATTGCACACAGGTGGACTTTATTTAACTAATTATGTGACTTCTGACGGAAATTGGTTGCACCAGATCTTATTTAGGGGCTTCATAGCAAAGGGGGTAAATACATATGCACGCACCACTTTTCCGTTATTTATTTTTAATACTTTTTTGAAAACATTTATTTTTATTCATTTCACTTCACCAATTTGGACTATTTTGTGTATGTCCATTACATGAAATCAAAATCAAAATCAATTTAAATTACAGGTTGTAATGCAACAAAATAGGGAAAATGCCAAGGGGGCTGAATACTTTTGCAAGGCACTGTACACAATCCATGTCTCAATTGTCTCAAGGCTTAAAAATCCTTCTTTATCCTGTCTCCTCCCATTCATCTACACCTATTGAAGTGGATTTAACAAGTGACATCAATATGGAATCATAGCTATCACCTGGATTCACCTGGTCAGTCTGTCATTTTTGTATACTCAGTGTATATGAAATAATTAAATAAGATGATTCTAAAAGCTAAATAAATGTATGGCAAAGCTGTAAAACATTATCCTAAATATAAACCATCAACTTAGTGAATACCATTGGTGTTTAATATGAGGGTTTCAGCATGAAATATAATGTATATATTTTTTACACACTTATTTATTTTACTATGGCAATATTTCTTTGTTGTAAATGTTTTGGCGTCAAACTGGTGGCAGTTGTGAAAAAAGTCAATAGTTGGACGAGTTGCAGAAGTAATAGAAAATAATGCCATTGTTGATTAGATCCTTTTTTCATTAACTAGGCTATTTTCTCTTGAACCATATGGTATATCAACTAGAAACTGAAGGACAATATGAACACAGATACAACAAAAAAAAGACTACTGGTGTATGATTCATTTTTTTAAAGGTTATTCAAGTATAAATTACCAAATTTACGATAGGATTGCCATATATTTTCTGTTAATTACCAAAATTACTGAATATTCCGGTAACTTTGGTAAATTACCAGTAGCTTTGCAACCCTGATCTTGACCCTCCACACAGATCAGCTTCAGAAACACTGGACTTTCAGTTACAGCACATTAACATATAGTACAGTAACCCACATTGTTGGATTAAGGATGGTGGTTAGGTCTCCTCTGATACAGGTCAATTCACTGCACCAGTGAAAGGAGCCTACTACTTCAGATTCACTGTTGTCGGGAATTACAGTACATATGGCAGGGGAGCAGCCCTTTTTATGAACATAGATCTGATCATGTATGTTTTTGACCAAGAGAGGGCCACAGGCAATGACCATTTCTCCAGTGGGGTCACACTACAGCTGGAGAAAGGGGACACAGTCTACTTACGCATGGTTAGCAACCATCAAGTCTATGATGATACTCAAAACCATAACTCGTTCAGTGGCTTCCTGCTCTTTGCCATGTGAGAACTGAGTGTGTTTGTATGAGGAGAACAGCTGAGATTTTTTGGAATGTCAAATGCGTCAATAAATATTGTTTGATCAAACATAGCTTGTGTTTAGTTAAATTATTGACTAGGAAATATAGGGAAATATAGATTTGCATTGACAAGATTATAGTTGTGCTAGATGGCGTGACTATAGTACGCATTGGTTGAAGCTCAATGTTAAATTCAAATCTCCCTACCATTGTATCTAAGCCAATATGACACCAATGTTGATGAAAATTCGCTGATCAACATGATTGGAGGTACACAATACACTCCCCGCCTCTCGTCATGATCCGTTAGGCCGTTACGAGAATCACTATGCCAGAGTTTTGACAGGGTCGTTAACATTAGGATTGTCAGACAATTTTTGGCCCAAACATAGCTCAACAGGAGGGGATATTTTGACCATTCTCTTCATGTATAGTTTTTGACCCCCTAACTTTCCCAACACACACACACACCGGTGTGCGCTTATTTTCATTTATTAGGGGCTCTTAAAAAAGTTACAGAGTTTGGCTTCCGGTTGAGCATGTGAATGGAGAAGAAGCTTGTGGATGAAGCTCCTACGCATTAGTTAATTTTGCCAAATTTTTATTTTACATTCCACTTTCTTACATATCAGATTTGATTGATGAGTTCGTAAGTTACCTTTTTGATTCAAATGTCACACGATCTGAGGAGTAGAATACCTGTAACTAAGGTTTCAACCGCGATGGCAAACGTGAATGGTAATGGCGCCGACTCCAGTCCAACCGTTACGGAGTCTCATGTGAACACACTCCCCACAGATCTTCAGAACCTCCGTACGGTTCTGATCTTCCATTTCCCCCTTCTCCGCCGTCCTGGATGGTGTCCGAGCCGCTGCGGATGAACAAGGCCGCCGACTTGATGGCTTTGAACTGTGTGACTACAGTGACCGCATAGTAGCCCTTGAGAAAACGATCGCCCGTCTGAGCTCCAAAAACCAAAAGCTGATTGACAAGATGATAACCTGGAATCCCGTTCTCGCCGTTGCAATCTTCGGGTTGTTGGTATACCAGAGAAACTTGAAGGAGGGGACTCAGTTAAATTCATGTCAGACTTCTTCGGAGGTGCTGGGTCCGGCCATCGTTCCATCACCCCTTGAAGCTGGATAGAGCCCACCGCATTGGCCCTTCCCCAGGGGGCGGAGACGACAATGCCAAGCCTAAAGTGTTTATCGTCCGTTTTCACTACTACCGTGACAAGGAGCGCATCCTCCAGAGGCAGGGCAGAGACCAGCTACACTTCTGCGGACGCAAAGTCTTCATCTTTCCTGACCTCAGCTCGAGTGTCGCCAAGAAGAGAGCTAAATTCCTCGATGTGAAACGCAACCTTCATGAGAAGAAAGTGAAATTCTCACTCCGCTTCCCTGCTCGTCTCCACGTTGAACATACCGGGGGGAAGCTACAGTTCGACTCCCAGGAGGACACCCAGCGTTGGTTTGACAGTCACTTTTGAGTCGTATCTTAGATCTATGACCTACTCTTTTGCCAGGTAGCATGCATAGCCTAGCCTACCCTCCAAGTCTAAGGTATGTTTAGATTTTCACGGCAGGGCCTTTTTCCCCGTTGCCATTCCTTTTCTACTCTGCAGAAACAATATTGAACTCTGATAAAAATGACTAATACTGTCTTGTGGGTTGTTATTTAAGCTACACGTTTGGGAGGTCTTTTTTATTTGGCTAGATGGCTAGCGTAGTAATGCACGGCTACAATTCCAGGCTTTTGCAGAGCTTTCCTTTTCTTTTCTTTTTTCATCTAGGTACTTACTGAAGGACTTTTCACCACTTTATTGCGCCCCATTGATCAGTTGTGACTTTTTGGTCCTATTTTTTTGGTTAGTTTTTTTCCATCAGTTTTCTGTTATCTTTGCAAATTCTTGGTCTGTTTTCACACCTTTTTCCTGTCAATATTTTAGATGGCTAACAACGCTAATAATAGTAATATTGGAATAGGTAGGCCTAATCCTATAAAGCTTTTATCTTGGAATACTAAAACAATTAATAATCCTTTCAAGAGGTCTAGGGTCTTCTCCCATTTGAAAAAGCTAAAAGCAAATGTGGTATTTTTACAAGAGACCCATTTACACATTAAAGATCACTCAAGGCTACAAAATTCCAGGTTCAGTCAGGTTTTCCATTCAGACTTTAACTCCAAAGCCAGAGGGGTTGCAATTTTAGTTAGTAAAATAATACATTTCTCTACTACTAATGTTATTTCAGACAGTAATGGAAGATATTTAATCATAACTGGCACCATTTGGCACACACCTGTAGTATTGGTCAATGTATATGCTCCCAATTTTGATGATGTTGAATTTGCCTATGGGTTGCTGTGGAAAATCCCTTCTCTGAACACCCATCTTTTGATATTTGGCTGGGATCTGAATTGTGTTATTAGCCCAGCTTTAGACCGCTTCAACCCCAGAACCATGTCTCCTGCTATGTCAAAGTCCTTCTCAGATTTTATGGTTCAGAATGGGTGTACAGATCCCGAGAGATTTCAGAATCCCCAGGCAAGAGAGTATTATTCTTTTCAAATGTACACCATTCTTTTTCTCGTATTGACTATTACTTTATTGATCATAAGTTACTTCCAAATGTCACCTCTTCTGAATATATATCCATTGTAATTTCTGACCATGGACCTTCAGCCCTCGACATAGTCCTATCAGGACAAACTCGTACTCCTCTCTGTTGGAGATTCAATTATCTTCTCCTGTCTGATGCAGACTTCTGTAACGTTATCTCCACTTCTATTGATAATTTTATTTTTTCAAATCAGACAAGCTCAACCTCTCATTCTCTCTTATGGGAATCCCTTAAGGCCTATCTTAGAGGATAAATTATTTTTATTCTTCTCATTTAAACAAAACTCTCTGAAAGCTAAACTAGAAGAACTCTCTAAAGTAAGCATTTCACGGTAAGGTCTACATCTGTTGTATTCGGCGCATGTGACAAATTCAATTTTATTTTATTTTATTTTATTTAAAGCCATCCTTGACTTAGACCACCAATATGCCTTGACGCCATCTCCATAGCTATATAAGCAACGCTTGAACTTACAATCTGAATTCAATATCTTGTCCACTACAGATGCAGAACGGTTACTATTGCATTCACGTGGTACCTACTATGAACATGGCGACAGGGCAAGACTTCTGCTCGCACACCAATTAAAACGCAGCGCCGCTACCCGTCTGTTTCCCCAAATTAAAGATTCCTCTCATAGCTTGATTTCTGACCGTACAGGGATCAATAACACCTTCAAATCTTTCTATTCCTCCCTGTATACGTCTGAATTTCCATCAGATACTGCCCGTTCTGATTATTTTGCCCTGGGACATGGGACACCCCAAGTCTTCCCACGGCCCCCTTTATTTTTTGTTGTTGCCATTGAGCCCCTTTCAGTAGCTTTACGGGCATCCTCCTCTTTCCAAGGTGTAACACGGGAAGGAGTTGAACATAGGTTATCATTATATTCAGATGATTTGTTACTCTATGTAAAAAACCCTGTAACCTGTTTACCTTCTATCCTTTCTATTCTGGAGAACGTTGGCTCCTTCTCCAGTTACAAGCTGAATTTCCAGAAAACGGAGTGCTTTCCAATCAATCCAGCAGTGCTATAGCTCCAGCAGACAGACTTGCCTTTTCAGTTTAGCCGCTCTGGTTTCAAATACCTTGGAGTGAACGTAACTCGTTCATTACATGCTCGTTTTTCTGCAAACTTTGCTCCCCTCCTTACGCAAATGAAATCTGATTTTCAGAGATGGGGTAGCTTACCATTATCACTTATAGGAAGGATTAACGCAGTTTACCCAAATTCCTTTATCTATTTCAATCTATCCCATTGTTTTTAACCAACGTCAATCAATCAGGCTGTTACCACATTTATCTGTGGAGGAAAGGTACCCAGTCAGTAGATCTTTACTTCAGAGATGCAAGTTTAGTGGAGGGCTTGCACTACCCAACTTTTATACTATTACTGGGCAGCCAACTTTCAGAAATTGCCATTCTGGTTCCATGCTCCAGATACCCCATGGTGCCACCTAGAGGCACATTCTTGTATTTCTGCTTCTCTTCCTGCTTTACTCTGCTCTTCTCTCCCAGCATGCCCCTCTCGCTATACTGGCAATCCTGTAGTGCTTTCCACACTTAATATTTAGTACCAGTTTTGACGGCATTTTTAATTCTCTTCTGCATCTACTATGGGTCCTATTGATAACAATTACTTATTCCCTTCTTCCCTAATAGATCATGCTTTCTCTTACTGCACAAGGAAAGGTATTAAGTCCTTCCAAGACTTATATGTAAATTGAATATATTTTATAGTTTTCCCAACCTGGCCTCTAAATACTCTTTGCCTCCATCTCACTTTTTCAGTTACCTTCAAATTAGGCATTGTGTCTCCTCCCAATTTTCTGGCTTCCCTGCTCCACCCCCTTGCCAACCCTGGGATGGTTTATTCTCTATTACCTTGCCAACCCTGGGATGGTTTATTCTCTATTACCTTGACAGAAAACAGTCATTTCTCAGATCTACCTGTGTATTATGTCATTGGACAAACACTCCACCAAAAAAACTAAATCTGCTTGGTAACGGGAAATGGGTGTTGAATTTACACAGGAGTGGTGGGATGAGGCGATGGATAGAGGACGCTCCACTACATCTTGTGCTCATCTTGGTCTCATACAATTTAAAGGTTTTACGTAGAGTGCATTTTTCCAAATCCAGATTGTCTGAAATGTATCCAAATGTAAATGATGAGTGTGAGTGTGATAGATCTCATGTCTCACCAATGCTCTAAACTACCAAAATTACTGAGATTCTATTTTACATTTTTTATCTGAGGTGTAAGGTTTGGTGTGAGGTGTGACCCAGGTGCGGTGCAGGATAGACAGTAGGCAGTAGGCAGAGATGGTGAAACAAGGATCTTTACTGGTGGTCCCAAAACCAGG